TCACTCACACACGCACTCACTCACGCACGCAGTCACACACGCACTCACTCACACACGCAGTCACACGCACTCACTCACACACGCACTCACTCACGCACGCAGTCACACACGCACTCACTCACACACGCAGTCACACGCACTCACTCACACACGCACTCACTCACGCACGCAGTCACACACGCACTCACTCACACACGCAGTCACACGCACTCACTCACACACGCACTCACTCACGCACGCAGTCACACACGCACTCACTCACACACGCAGTCACACGCACTCACTCACACACGCACTCACTCACGCACGCAGTCACACACGCACTCACTCACACACGCAGTCACACGCACTCACTCACACACGCACTCACTCACGCACGCAGTCACACACGCACTCACTCACACACGCAGTCACACGCACTCACTCACACACGCACTCACTCACGCACGCAGTCACACACGCACTCACTCACACACGCAGTCACACGCACTCACTCACACACGCACTCACTCACGCACGCAGTCACACACGCACTCACTCACACACGCAGTCACACGCACTCACTCACACACGCACTCACTCACGCACGCAGTCACACACGCACTCACTCACACACGCAGTCACACGCACTCACTCACACACGCACTCACTCACGCACGCAGTCACACACGCACTCACTCACACACGCAGTCACACGCACTCACTCACACACGCACTCACTCACGCACGCAGTCACACACGCACTCACTCACACACGCAGTCACACGCACTCACTCACACACGCACTCACTCACGCACGCAGTCACACACGCACTCACTCACACACGCAGTCACACGCACTCACTCACACACGCACTCACTCACGCACGCAGTCACACACGCACTCACTCACACACGCAGTCACACACGATAGGGATGTGCATCTCATGCATAGCCTACGATACATTAAAGATACATATGAAGCAGCTACCGATGCGATACGATTCACACCTGTTACGATGCAGTGTGATCCGATTCGATTCAACACAATGCGATTAAATGCAATATGATGCAATGGAGAAAATATGATCACTTTTAATGCCTCGAGGCCTGTTTCATAAAACAAGTTAGCCAAATAAGCCAGGCTTATTTCAGTTAGTCTGCCTCATTGTCAAATGATTTGGTTCCATAAAGCAAATTTAACATAGGCCTAGATCAAGCTTAGTCACTGTGGCAACTTATGCTGGGAAACTAACCTGATCAAAAGCAAGGCTAACTGTCAGGCTAAGCTAAGCTCCTCTACTGACCAATAGGAACATAATGATATTACCACTCTCATATACTGTTATTTGATTTTTTTTTGTTTTTACAGTTTCTAGCCATGCAGCCTTTCTTTCTGGTTTTATTACAGCTGTACCTTTTATAGTTTGCAGAACATATAGCAGAACATTAGAATATTACAATCTAAAATTGTTTTTTTAAAGCATTAAAATAACTACATTAAAAGTTAAAATCACTGAATTAAAAATGAAAATAAATAATAAAGAAAATGGCTACATTTTAACTGCTATAAGAAACACATTAACTCATTTGAGCTTAGTAATTAGTACTGTAGCCTACTAGCTTACAGTTGATTTACCTATTACAATAGTCCACTTACAGTTACTGCTATCATAATAATACACTTTATATGTAGGTTTAAAAATTCTACAAAAGACACATTAAATGTCCAAAAACAAATTTATTAAAATGTGTATTTTACTCAGAATTATTGCGCTACTATTCGATTGCGCTCTGTCTGTTTAGTGCGCATGCACGCAGCTGCGCTCGTTGCTCTCACATGCCTTGCCCACTCCTGACAGCAAAACGGATATGTTTGCATGACTTTCTGACATTTACAGATGAAGATTATACCTGTGGCATGTCAGTTATGCACTGAGGAAAACACAACGTCTCAAATGCATTAAACAGCACAGATATATTCGCTGTTTGTCAAGGTGGATCGATTTGGTCCATGATCGACATTAAGGTCTTTTTTTATTATTAATAAATTATTATTTATTATTAAATTATTATTTATTAATTAAGCTCTGCTTAAGAATAAACATGCACAAATTAGTGAGATTGTGTGAACTTAATTAGTCGTTAATGGAACCTCTTTAGCCCCGATTGATTTGTTATTTAAGGCCAGGTTTTGGACTTTAATCCCAGTTTTTCCTCGGGTCTCTGTGGTGTTGTGATGCGTCATATTCAGCAGCGGTGATTAGAGCGCGCGCTTGAGAAACAGTTTAGAGAGGAGAAATCAATCTACATATAAAATATTGGTCACAGATTATTGGTCACTTTCTAAATAATAAAAGTATAGGGCATCCACTAGTAATTATATATAAATAAATGCAAATATGTTAGAAACGATGCATCGCGATATAAATGACAATTTGTAGCTGATGCACACTTTTTAAACCGATGCATCGTTAACTTTTTAACGCACGCACACACACACACACGCCTGACTCCAGTCTCACTGTGTCTGCAGGAGACG